TGATGCTGGCACAGCCTGGAACATCTCCCCTGGTGAAGCCAGGGCCATGGGGGTGGTTTGGGCTCACCCAGCTCCACGGGGAGGGCAGCAGAGCTGTGACATTCCCACTCCTGTTTCAGAGCCAGCACCAGATCCATCAGCACCCACAGCACCGAGGGGACCAGTCCCACCCCAGGCAGGGTCTGGGACACCCAGAAGGAAGCCACACTCAAGAATTTGGGATGTTCTTGGCATGAGGAGGGAGCCTGTGGTGGACACGGCTCTTCAGGTGTGGAATCMYGGAATTAAGGCTGGAAAAGACCTTTAGGATCACCAAATCCAACCAGAACCACCACCCTGGTCACCACCAAACCACATCCYCAAGGGCCACATCCACATGTTCTCAAGCACTTCCAGGRCTGGTGACTCCACCGGCCAGTCCAGGACTTTACAACCTCTTCCATCAAAAAATATTCCCATCTAAACCTCATGAAAAGATTTACCCCATCTAAACCTCCCMTGTCCTGTGCCGGTGCAGCCGGAGCAGGAACACGCCTGGGACAGGTATTTCCCACATCAAAAATGAAACTCGTGATTAGAGGCGATGCTCACTTGGGAGCAGGAGATAAAACCCCAAAGCAAGTGTCTAAGTATGACTGATTAACAACTAAACCCTCACTAATTGCCTTAAAAAGTCGGATCTCAACAACCAGGGAAAGGGAGAGAAAAAAAAAAAGGATTAAAATTTTCCTTGGGCTAAACATTTTTCCGGCGTGCTCAGACTGGCTCTGGATGTCTCCAGTCATTATCTCCCTAATTAACACAAGCCACAAACCAAAAACAAATTTCCCCACCTTGTGGCTCTGGGAGGTTCAGTGAGATTACCCAAATTTTGGGAATGGGATCAGTCGGTGCCCAGCAAGCAGTAGGATTTGGGATAGGGAGGTGAAATTATCATTGCTGAATGAGGTGGAATAAGCCTTGGATTTTCTTCAGCTGCAGCTGGAAGTGCTGGGGGACAGGTGAGATCTGGGATGGAGCAGGTGAGGTGATGGGATGCTCCTCTCCTCCTGCCAACCCCATGTCAACCCCAAAATTACAATGGAGTAGGATTTTTTTCATTTCCATCCCATTTTTTTCCTGGAATTAACACAAACCTGTCATTTTCACAGCCCCAGAAGGAACCCAAATAATCCCTTTGAAGCAAACTGATGCTCCAGAATCCACCAAAGGGATGGGACCTGGCCCAGCTTGGGATGAAGGCAATGTTGTGCTAGAAATCCCAAAATCAGCCTGTGCTCCTGTCCCAAGGGATGTGTAACCCCCCCAAAAGTGCTGCTTTGGGGTCTTGGGCTTTTGGAATGGGAAAAACKGTGGATCAAAGGGTAAAATTAAACAAATTTACACAAAGGAGCCATCCCTGTGATGCTGGGCAGCCTCTGGAAACGCGGAGTGAGAATTCCAGGGTGCAGGAGGAGAGGGAGCAGCCAGGCTCTGGCTCCAAGGAACAGCGGTAATTAGAGCTTCCGAGTGCCTCCAGGTCATGTTCCTTTTCCTTGGATAACATAATTTCTATAGGGCTTGTTGTCTTATTAGGGAATTAATCTAAATCTCGGCGGGCTCTGGATGCTTTGCCGGCGGCTGGAGCCATCCCGAGGAGGGTCAGGGGCAGGTCCTGTGCGTGGCGTGTGGGGGAAAAAAAAATGACAAAACTCGAAAGGGAGGTCAACTGGAGGCTACGGGGGAGGAAATGAATGATTTCTGAAACAATCAGGGAAGTTTGTGTCGGCCTGGAAACGTAATTTAATTTGTGTCGTTAAAGCTGGGCTGGGGCTGCTGCTCCCGACTAAGCAAAATCCTCTCGTTAAGGCACAAGTGTCATTAGTGGGATAATTAAATGAGGAGGAATGGCAGAGGGAATGCCCGGGCCATGGAGTGAGGGAGGGAAGAGATTTCTGAGGGAGAGGGACCCTGTGGGGCTGAGGGTGCTCGGGGAGATGGGATGGGATGGGATGGGATGGGATGGGATGGGATGGGATGGGATGGGATGGGATGGGATGGGATGGGACCTGTCCTGTGGGATTGCATCCTTCATCCTCGGCATCAGGCTCTGCCTGGAGCTCTCCACGCTCAGGTCGTTGCCAAAATCCAACCTCCAGACAGATTCACAGGAAAATATCCCACCCCTGTCTAAACCACCCTGGGGATTTCGGCTCCGGGGATTTTCCCTCAGTGCTGATCCCACAGCAGCATCCTCCTTCCTTCGCTTCCCTCCATGGAAGAGTTCAGAAAGGCACTTGCACCCTCCCGTGCCCGCATCCACAAACTGCAAGGCAGCCTGGAATTGCGCAGGATTCCCAGGAGCGGGAGGATCCCGGCTGGATCTCCCCCGGCACACGCTGCCTGCGATGGGGAGGGGTCTTTACAATCCCAAGATTTCCACCCGCTGCAGCATTTCGAGGGAAATCACTCCAAAAATCCCTTTTCTCCACTCTTCCAGCACTCTGGGGCTCATGTGGATGTCACCTGGCAGAGGGAATCCTGGAAAGGTTTGGGGTGGAGCGACCTTAAAGCTCATCCAGTGCCACCCCCCCCAAAGGCAGGGACACCTTCCACTGTCTCAGGTTGCTCCAAGCCCTGTCCAACCTGGCCTTGGACAGTTACAGGGATCCAAGGACAGCCACAGCTTCTCTGGGCACCCTGTGCCAGGGCCTCCCCACCCTCACAGGGAAGAGTTTCCCCCTAATACCCCAAAATCCAAGGATTAATCATTCAAAAGGCAGCTCAGACCTTCAGACTGGAACCTGGTGAATAATTAGAGCTGGAGATTGACCCGAGGGGAGGGCATGACTCCCAGGTTCCAGAGAGGACTTCACCCCCTTGGAGGAGGGAATTGGAGTGTTGCAGAGCCCAGCTCGAGCCTCCAGGCTCCGGGGATCCGGTGTCCAGCTCCAAGGGGGTGAAGAGCCCTTGTGGGACAGAGGTTGTAGCTCTGTCTTGCAGAGAGCTTTGTGTGGGGAAGTTYGGGTGAGAAATTCAGCTTCCTGTGCCCAGAAAGTCCTGACAGCCCAGGAATTACAAAAAACACTTGGAACAAGCCAAAACCAGCTTCATTTGGGAAAAAAATGCTAAGTGGAGAGAAACAAAAACCTTCCTGGGAAAGCATTGGCCCTGGGAATGCCCAAAGGCCTCCAATGCAACCCCTTCCCATGGAAAAACCTGGGGAAATGGTAAATTCCAGGTAAATTCCAGGTAAATTCCAGATTCCAAGTAACATCACACACATCCCACCCCCCAACCTCCCCATCCCCACAGCCACAGAGCAGGGAAGGAACCCTCGGTGCCGGGACGCCATTCCCAGCATTTTTAACACTCCAACACAGTGAATCAGTGCTTTATTGTCAGCATGGAAAGAGGTACGAGAGCAGCAGGGAGCTCCAGGGAATGAGCTGGCRTGGCAAACTTCCCCTGGTGCCCTCGGATCCGTGGGATTGAGGCAAAACACACGGAGAGAAAACCCCGCAGCGCGTCCCCGAGTGCGGCTGCACCGGAACAGCAGCAGCAGCGCGGCCCCTCCGAACCCCACGGGACAGCAACAGCCRTTCCCATCTTTAAAGATCCTTGTGTATCGATTCCAGACGAGGATTTGGCTTCTGGGACAGGGAGGGAAGGCCACGAATCAGGTGCTRAATTAAGAATCAGCGTGACAGCCCTTGGGATCATTGAGGCAGCACAGATTCCCGGAGCCTGAGCGGTGCCAAGCGTGGCCTTTGGGCCCAATTCCGGCTCTCTCCTGCCTGAGGAGGAGCCTGAGTGCCACTGGAATTTATTGCACAGTGCTAAATCAGGTGTAAGGCCAGGGCAGAATGGAGGACACGGGTGCAGAACCGTCTCTGCTGTGTGCAAGGTGGGCAGAGGGGGAAAACACCTGGAYGCTGCCCAGTGGGACCATAAAACATCCTTGCCCCAACACCCCRAAGGGTTTATATAGGGCAATTCATACCATGATCCCAGCCCAGAATAGCTCCAGGGATTAACCCAGCCTCTGACCTCAGCTAATCCCGTGTTTGTCCCTGCAAGTGCCAGCGGAGCCACCCTGGACTGCATCAGGCTGGGATCTGGAGAATGTCCTGCCTTGGCTGAAGGCAGCAAACCCTCCCCARAGCCCAGCAGAGACAGCAGCACAGGCACAGGAGCTCCTTGGATGGAGCTGGAACAGCCCCAAGGAGGAACCAGACCAGGGAAACCAGGGGAGAAACAGATCAGGGAAATGAGTGGGAAACTGTGACAAGAAACCAGGGAAAACTGTGACAGGGAAACCARGGGAGAACCGTGACAGGAAAACCAGGAAAGAACCAGATCAGGAAAACCAGGAGAGAACTATGACAGGGAAACCAGGGAGAACCAGATCAGGGAAACCAGGGGAGAACCGTGACAGGGAAACCAGGAAAGAACCAGATCAGGAGAGAACTATGACAGGGAAACCAGGGGAGAACCGTGACAGGGAAACCAGGAGAGAACCAGATTAGGGAAAGGAGGAGAGACTCAGATCAGAGAAATGAGTGGTAAACTGTGATAAGGAAACCAGCAGGGAACCATGACAGGGAAACCAGGGGAGAGCCAGATTAGGGAAACCAGGAGCTTCCTTGGGGTTCCTCCTGCTGGGGTCCCCTTGGCAGGATGGTGCACGCCAAGGAGCGAAGGCAGGATCAACCCAGGGCAGTGCCAGGTGGAGCAGCTCGCTTACTTCTCCTTCAGGTTGTTGTCAACTTTACCTAAAAAGGGGGAAGGAACAATGAGGGCTGGTGTTTCTCCCTCCAGAACCATCAGCCCTTTTTATTTGGGGGTTTTGCTACACARCATCACCACCACCACAGCCTGACAAGCAGGACAGCAGCTCATGGCCGTGGTGCTGGTGGGAATTTGGTCTCATGGGGCCTTTSCTTGACAGTCTTTTCTTTCCAACTTCCCCAAGGAGTGACCAGCAAGGCCCCTGCAGCCCCTGAGCACCACAGGGACTCCCTGCCCTTGCTTTGCACCCCCAGTGTGCAACCTCCCAAAACTCAGTCACCCCAAAACCCACAGAGCTCCAGTGGGAGGTTGGGGAGCCTCCAGCCGAGCAGCCTGAGCCTGATTCMATCCCTGAGCAGCTCCTCGGCGTTATCAGCACGGCCAGGGCCGCCCTGCCGAAAGCAGTGCAGCGCACACAGCATGCCCCAAAAATAACTCCACGGCCTGGGAGAGCTGCCAAGCCACAGCTGGTACCTTTCGGGACGAATTTCAGCGAGCTGCTGAATATTCAGAAGCGGGACTGGCCCTGCTTGGGGCCATCGTTGAGGAACTCGTGGCCCAGCCCGTTGCCACACTTGCCACACGTCACCTGGAAAAGCAAGGACAGTGCTTGGCAGCGATCCACCTTTTCCATGGGCTCACGGAAAACAAGCCCGGGGGGTGTTTTTATTGTTCCATCCCACGGGTTTGGGGATCGGCACCTTCAAAGCGCCCGGGCGCTCCTCCCGCTTGGCCACGCTGTCCCCGCGCAGGGTCTCGGTGAAGGCTGGCCACGGCGACGAGTGCTCGTACTTGGCCCGGCTGGAGAACAGCTCATGGCCACACTTGGCACACACGTAGATGCCTGCGGAGGGCGGCAGGAGAGGGCTCAGGGCAGGGGACAGCGGGAGSGACACGGGACACCGGCGGGGGACTTTGCCCGCGTGGGTCGCTGCCAGCTGCGGACCCCACGGAACCCCCAGGGCAGGGCAGGGGCGTGGAGGGGCAGGACCCCCATTCCCCATTGGGGCTCCCCTCAAGGGGTTGCTGTAGGGACCGAACCCCCGAGCCCCTCTCAGGACGCCCCTCACCATCGGGGAGGATTCCCCCACCATCGGGAGGATCCCCAAAAAACGCCGCAGAGGGGGAGCCCCCAGCCAGCCCCCACGGGTGGAGGATGCTCCGCAGAAAGACACCCCCCTAAACCTCCCCTCGAACGTTCACCCGGGGGGTTCCGTCTTGCCGGGTGACACCCCCTGCCCACCCGCTGGGGATCCCCCCGGCCGCACCCCCGGAGCCCGCGGGGAGCCCCTCACCCGGCTGGAAATGATCCTTGAACACCTCTCCCCCCAGGAAGGAGCAGAAGGACATGGCTGCGCCCGCCGCACCGGCCCGTTCCGCTCGCCCGGCCGCGCCCCCGCCACGCCCATTCACCGGGCCACCCCCCGTGTCCCTCCCCTCCGCCGGGCCACCCCCCGTGTCACCCCGGCCACTCCTCCGGCCCCGCCCCTGTGTCCCGCCCCGCCGCCCGCAGAGGGCGCTACGGGCCCGGCGGTACCGGGGGGTCCCGGTGCCCGGGGAGACCCCGCTCCGACCCCCCATCATCCCGGTGGGGACCCCCGGCCCGGGCCCGCAGCCCCGCGCGGCCTCCCCGGTGGTGGCGGGGATCGAGGGCAGCCCCGGCGGGTGCGGGATGCGGGGGGGCGCGGGGCGGCGCGGGGGGCGCGGGGCGGAGCGCGGAGCCGGCTCGGGGCTGCGGATGCTCCGGCACCGCCGGCGGGAGCGGGGCGGGCGCCAGCCCGGCTCTGGGCATCTGCAGCCGGCAGCGGGACCGCGACGGAGCCTCCGGCAGCGGCTCTTCACCGCCGGTACCGGCGCCTCAACCGGCACCGGCTCCGGCCCTGCTATCCCGGCASCGGCATCAGTCCTTGGATCGCGGCACCAGCACCGACCGGCCTCCASCAGCGCCGGCACCGTCACTGGCGCTGGCACCGGCACCGGCTCTTCTTCCCCGGCACAAGGTCCGGTCCCCTCCGACCCCGGGACTGATCCCCACATTATCCTGCCCCGGCACTGGGACCGCTCCGATTCCCCGGCGTTGCTCGTCCTTCTCCAACACCGGGACTGACCGACCCTTCCCGGCTCCCCGGGGCCCCCCGCCTGCCGCAGGTACCGGCGCTGCGGGGCCCCGGGGAGGGCGGCGGGGCCGGCCAGCCCCGGTTTCCCCAGGGTTGGGGGCGGTTGGGACGGAGGGTCCCCTCAAGCATCCCCAGGGCTCTGAGGATGGCTGCAGGCGCAGGCACAGCAGGGACCACCCTGCCCCGGGAGCGCGGAGCCGGGGTCACCCGTGGGACCCTCGCCCGGAGGGATGCGGGGTCTGACCGGGGCCCGTCGTGGGCGCGGGAGTCCCGGAGAGGAGGAGGTGACASCCAGCATGTGGCAAGGTGAGGGCTTTGAAGGTGAACCTGGGCAGGTTCCGAAGGGGATGAGCTGCTGCAGCTTCCTTCTCTTTCCAAAAACCAGCACCACAAATCCCTTCTTTTGTAGTTTATCCAAAACCTCTCGGATGAGTGCCCAGGCTTTGGATCTCGTGGAAATGGCACCTTCCTTGGCGCAAGAGGATAAAAATTTCAGTGCCCTTTGGGCAAAAACTGGGGTCTGGCTCTGCTGCCCTGGCCCTGCGGCCGCAGCGGCGCGTTTGGATGGATCCCCATTCCCTAATGCCAAGGGACGTGTCCAGCGGCGGGGAGCTGCCCCCGGGGCTGCAGGACCCTGGAGTGCGGCCGGCGCCGGCGGTGCCGCTGCCCCTCCGGACGCTGCCGCTTTGAATTAGGTCAGGCTTCATCCCGGGCRGGCTGAGCTCCCGCTCCAGCCCCGGGGATTGATGGCTCGTGGCAGGAGCCCGGGCAGGGGGAGGAAGGGGCTCGGCACCGCGGGGCGCGGGGAGCCGGCAATGCGCCGCGTCACCGTACGGGCGGGAGGGAGCCAGGGTGATGCGCTGCCTTGAAAGCGCCTCCCGTAAGATCCACCGAGATCAGAGGAGCGGGATGTCAGGGAAAGCTCCAGATAGATTCCAGGGGCTCTGCACACCTCAGGGGTGTGGATTTCCCGGCGGTGGAAGGAGCCGCAGCAGGCTGCAGGTCTCGGCAGCACCATCCGTCCGATAACTGCTGCTCACCGGAATTCCGACAGTGAGGCTGTGCCGGTGCTAACGGGGTGATGCTGGAACTGGTTGGATCCTTCCCCATGGCTGAGAGCTCCTGGGAGCTGCAGGGGCCGTGCCATGAGGGATGAGGTCTCAGGAAGATGAACAGAAATTGGGAATGGCTGAGACACGGCAGAGAAGCAGAGTCCATAGAGAGGAAAGGCTGGGCTCCATCCCTGGGATACACAGAGCGGTGTAAAGGCTTTGGAATGGGTCCTGGGGCTGGCTGGCTCTCAGCATCCCACTGGAGGCATTCCAAAGCCCAGCTGACTCCTGGCTCCCCCAGCAGCACGAAACCCACTCCAGTATCCACCAGTAAAAACCCTGAGAAGGAGCGATGCGACGCRGAATTGGGGGCAGAGGATGGAGCTGGGATCCCACGCTGCCCAACCCATTGCCCAGAGTTTCATTCTGAGCTTGCAGAGTTCCCTCAAAGCCTCTCTGATCTCGGGATAATGCAGAGCGCTCCCGGGACAGCATCAGAGCCGGGTTGTGTCATGGTGTTTTGTGCAGATAATTAAGAGAGGGATTTCCATCTCCTTTGGCTGGCCAAGGAAAGCGCTGCCGTGGTGCCACTGCCACCCTAATTAACCACAGAGGGCTGAGGGAAGTTAATGAAGTTAATATTTCAATTAACTCCCTGATTCTACCARCAAAGCAAACACCAGGCGAGTGGTGCCCACATGGGGACTCCCACCGTGCCAGGCTGTGCTGTGCCACCTCCTGCTGCCTTGGCTGTGTGAAGGGAATGTTGCAGAGACACTCCAAGACACCAGCCCAAGCTGGGCCACTGTTTGTCTCTGTCAGGTCATGTCAGGACCTGAATTTGAGCCAGGATCAAATCTGGGATCAAGGAGTGGAATTGTGGCGCTGGAATGCAGTGGGGAGGCTCACTGATGGTTATGGTTTTGGTGTGTCCACACACAGCGAGGGGAACACTGTCATTAGGGGTCTTGTGTCCCTGTCCTGCAGAGATGTGACCATCCTGGGCTGGGTGTCCCAAGCAGTGGTCCTCAGCAGACATCCCAACAGCTCCAATCCCTTCTGGGGGTGTCCCAGAACAGGRTATCACCCCACARGAGYCRTTTGCTGAYCCCTCCAAAGCCACCATCACCCCAYTGCCCTGTGACCCAGCCAAGCCCACGCAGCTGCCCCCATTAAAACACCTGCAAGGACCTTCATATCCCATTATTCCTGTAAAAAGCAAAGCCATTCCCCCAACCCTGCAGGGCCACAGGCTGGGGATGAACCCCGGGCCGGGAGGTGAGCTGGTGCTGGGGCACCTCCACASTTGGTATTTGCTCTCTGAAGCCTGAGCCAGCAGCAAAGCCTCCCCCGGGGCTGCACCTCCCTCTCGGGGTGCTGGGGGTCCAGCTGTGGCACCCAG